CACTTTATTGGATGAACCATACAAATCACAAAGTTCCTTATTGTGTAATATCTCCCCTTCCTCACTTACTTATTCCTTTCAAGGCTGCAGTTCACGTTCATCCGTTCAGGACTATACAAGCATTCTGTAATATTGTAGTCTTTACTGGTTTGGGTAGCATATTATGTGGATCTATGAAATATAAGCAAAAATAGAACATTTAAAATAAAAACTTACCTTCAAGACCAAACAGCGACTTTCCAATCAGTGGTTCGACATTTTCGTCTATAAAAGAACGGTGATTCAGAAAGTGCTCAAAATCTTTCACGGTCACCATTTTTATGAGCTCGGGATCTCGCAACAGTACAACTGGATTCAGAAATTCATACACACCACCATATTTATGGCCTTCAAGCTTGTTGTACAAGTCAACAACAAAGTCAGGGAACGATACTTTCCGAAGTGCCACTGGTCCCATGTTGCCAAGAAATGGGACGGTCTTGAGGCAAGGTATATTCCTCTTGGAGAAGTGATTGTGATTCCAAGTACCAATTACGTACACAACTACGGCTAAAAGACTGGTGCCCAGGGTCCATACCCATAGCGACTCTATCATCGTGATTTCTCTCGCCTTAAAATCGATGTATACCTGGGTTTAGAAAAGTAAAGCACCAAATTTTTTGTTCCTTTGTGTGCAGTTGTGTGTTTTGTTCTTAGCTGGCTTCAATGTGATGGAAGATCCACTAAAATAAAACAGAAATATAAAAATTAATGCTTTTATAAATGATGTTTTTACCAATAAGCCAATAACCAACAAGCTTTAAAGTAGTGATATCAAATTTTATGAAAGAAATCAGTTGTATTTACAGAGTCATTGGTACCAATACATTAGAACACTGTGCAAATCCCAGAAATGAGATTTTCATGGCAATGAAGATGTCTTCTGGGTTTCAGTTCAGAGTGGACTCGTAGGTAGATACCAACGTTTTAGGGGAACATACTGCCTCCATCATCAGCCCTGAAGGTGGAGTCATTATGTTCCTCCGAAACGATGGTATCTACCTACGAGTCTACTTGTTGTTACGACCCAGAAGACCAACATCGACAAGTACCGAAATGCTCTTGTGGTGAAGAGTATGATTCCGACTCTAATGCCTGGCATCGAATCTTGATCTTTTGGTCCGATGGTTTATTCGTAGGATACGTCATGAAAGTTTCTTAGTTGCAGTGTTTCTTTACTGTCAAATGTGAAGATGGGGGATTATGTACTGTGCAGCCTGTCTGAAGGTATGTTATTGATATTTGCCTAAAGAACCGAGGACGACAGAGTTCGGTCCAGCTCAGGTGTGCGCTCTGCCTGAGACATGAACGTGGTACTTACCAGAACAGGTCAGACGTATTACCTGAGGTGACTAGCTCAGTCCTGCAGCTGGTAGTAGCCTGTCACTTCACTGACTGAGCTCGTACGACTCTTTGGTTACTCCAAATTGTCTTTCACACTGCTGCGTAGGACGAGGGCATAATTTGGTTTTGTTCCGACAATGACCTTGAAGCATATCATGTACGTAATGCTCTTCATAGAACAGATGAACAATAAAAATACCAGTACTGCGTTATCTTTAATAAGGATTTACCTCAGGGCTGTGCAAAGTTGGCGGCATGATTTCATTTCTGGATGTTTAAAAACATCACCCCAGAAGAAACTGCAGTTTATTACACACTCACAAATAAGGTGAGATATTTTTATGAATGTTCCATTCCTTTAGATATGGCCCTGAAATTTCATTTCACGGATCACTTTGCTCCCCAATAAGGCCATGTTTGGACAATTCGACATTTTTGTTTTGTTCAGCATACATTTTCAATGTAATCTATAATTTTTATTGATATTATCTGAAATGATATCTATAACAAGGGAAGTACTTTTATCAGGGGTCAACATACCAGTGATGGTACTGAATAAATGCGCATTAGATGAATTCACTCCTTTATAATTCGGGTTACCGTTGTCGACAGTTAACAGACCTGTTCTGAAGCATGAATGTAGTAAACTTTACATCGTGTATTGATTGCATCAGAAAGGTGGAAGCGAGCAGGGTTTGTGGGATGAAAGAGATTGAAGAGACCCTTCGGAGATCCAGGGTAACAGATTGTGAGAATGTGAATAGGATTCTTTACGACGTAGGACACGAGACGAATGTGGACTTCTGTAATGGCCCCTCGGATTCCCGAGACGTTATATAACCTCTGCAGACGGAAACCTTTGAACGAATCAATTTAAAATTTGTATCTGAAACTTTTTTCGGTATTCTGTGTTATTTAATGACATGTGACGAAATATAAATGCTGCTGATTATAAATCGTTGTTAGAGACTTCGCCTATTCTTTGGAAAGATACAGGGTACTTGCAAGATTACAACTTGCAAATCTGGTTACGTACATACCTTGCTGATAGAAGATATAAAAGGCTGTACAGATGCTCTATCATACTTACTGGAAGGTGACAGCTGATGTCCAAAACCATGACAGACGCAGCTCTTCCAAGTACTGCTCCTAGGGAATTGATAAGATTGAGGTCTCCGGGAGACGTGGACCACGAACGTCTTACGTCACGCAAACAGTTCTTACGTAACACACTGCAATGCCAGGTGTGGCTACAACTTATTTTTCATTCTTTTTTTTCAGAATCTCATACGAACTTCATGGAACAGAGTCCTTTACAAGCTAGCAGTTGCTCAGCCGGGAAAGAAATTGCAACGATTTTATGGAATCGCAATGTTCAC